TCTGACCTTGAACTCATGGGCTCAGGAGATCCTCCTGCCTCTGCCTCCTGAGTAGCAGGGAGGACAGGCGAGCATCTCTGTGCCCAGCTGAGTCAGCTTTCCTAAGCAGGGGTGTGGGCAGCTGAGAAGCTCCTCAGCACACAGCTTGAGGGATCAGAAAGCACATTTAGGCTCTCAACTAAAGCACACCTGCAGGTGGGGCAGGCAACCTCTGGTCCACTTAGACAGATGGGGCCATCTTTGGCCAGCCCAGCGCCATGGCAGCCTCGGTTCTGGGTTCCAGTCCCCAAATTCCCCCATAGCCATTGCTGGGCTACTCTGCTTTGGGGACATCAGAGAAGACAGCTCCTTTCCAGGTAGGAGGAGAGTCCCCGATCCTGAGGGGCCACTTCAATGCCCATTGAGAAGCCCCTCCTGACTCCCACCTTGGGGTCCTGTCCTCTGGTCCCCAGCTGAGACCTTCCTAGGTGCCTGATGTGCTCAGACTTCGCCCCATCCCCCTAGCCGGTGGTCACTTCCTTTTCCTTCTTGGCGTACTCTGTGCGCTGCTCCTCTGGCTTGTTTCCCTGGCAATAAAGAAGCTTGCAGACGCCATCACCAAGAAGGTCCAGGTGGCTTGTCGGCTCTGCCCTCCTCCTGGAGCTGAGGGCGGTGGCCAGGAGCCCTCTGCACTCCCCTGTTCCACAAATGACTCACGACAGAGACACAGAGACGTCTAGCTGGTCCCAGGTTGTTTAATAGGGGACAGCAATGGCCAAGATGAAGCTCAGCTTAAGGAGTCTCCTGCTGCCACCCAGGCGGGCAGGAAAGAGGTCCTTGGGGCAAGTCGAGCCCGTCTTGCAGCCCCTGATCCAGATCGTCCAGGTCGGAGGCAGTGGCTGCTGACCAGACACTGAGCAGCTCATCTGCCCTGGGAGGGAGGGGCTTCCTCTGTCACTTGGGGTTGCTCTCAAGCACCTGCCGGACCCTCTGCATCCCTGAGAAGGAGAAGTGAGGGCTGTGAGCGCTGGTGCTGCACAGGTGGGGACCAGCAAACCCTTGAGAGGGGTGGGGACAGGCGGCTGCTCACCCAGGCGAAGCCGCTGGGGCCTGTCTGAGAAGACCACGCGGAACCAGCCGGGCTCCTTACACTCAAAGGCCTTGCCGAAGGACAGCAGCACCTTATTGTCCAGAAAACGGCGCCACAGCAGCGTCTCCTCCTCAAAGGTGGCCTTGCGCAGGTACTGGAAAGGGGCGGGTAGAGGCTCAGGACACAGCGGAGACCCCCAGGGCCTGTCACTTGCTGGAGGAAGGCTTGTGCCCCGCCAGCCTGCACCCCAGCTCACCTTCCTCAGGTCAACCCAGATGAAGAGACCTGCCCCACGACTCAGGAAGGGGACCCCCAGGGCCCTGAGCTCCTCCGAGACGTAGGTGTGGGCAGCCTTGAGCCGGGCAAGGTTTTCAGGCAGGTACACGCGGTTGATCCAGTCTGAGTGAAAGGGCAACCAAAGAGGGGTCTTCCCTCAGCCTTCTCTCCCCTGCTAGTCTCAAGAGCAGAAGGTCAGGGCTGCTGAGACCATGGAGCCCCTCAGGCTGGCTGATGGGGTGAGGAGGAGGGAGGATCAGGAGGGGCAGGAATTCAGGGGTCCCTGTAAGGCCCCCCTCAACGCTGAGGGCTCCAGCTCCAGCCTCCACACGCCCAGTAGGAGCCCAGAGCACAAAGCCCCTCAGGATGCAGAGCAAACCAAAGATGTACCTGGTTACAAAGTGAGGCTTTGGAGCCACACAGACCAAGGGCCAGATCCCATCTGGGCAATGACAAGAGGGGGGACCTTTGACAAATTCACCTCTCTGATCCTCACATTTTTATTGACCTCTTTTTGAGGGGTGTGCAGCTCTGTGGATGATCACCCATCTATGTATTTGTGTACCTACCACCTTAGGCAGGATTAGGAATAGTTCCCTAATTCCAGAAAACACCCTCATTGGCCTCTGCCCCTCAACCTGATCTGCTTCCATCACCCTAGTTTGCCTTTTGCAAAATGTCCAGGAAGTGGAACGTTATAGTATGTAATCCATTGAGACTAGCTTCCTTCACCAGCCTAATACCTCCAGGATGAATCTGTGCTGTCGGGGATCTGATTGCAGAAGCACTTCATGGTGTGGATGAAGCACTCATTCACGGAAGAACATCCAGATTGTTTCCAGCTCAATTTCCATGTGGGTTTCTGCGTGCATGTGTGTGCACTATCTAGAGGTGGGATTGCCGGGTGGCGTGGTCAGTGTTTTTATGAGAAACTGCCTGTGAGATGCCAACCTAGTACATGACCAGCATTTTTCTCCCTTTCTGATTGGTGAGGCATTGTGGGTCACTTTGTGATCTGGTTGCCTAGGTAACCACAGATGGTAGCCCAATCTTCAGGGTCAAGCAAATGTGTCTTCATGCATGGACGTGCCTTCCTACAGCCCCATGGATCGAGCTACGCTCACCTGTTCCTTTGTGATATTACCCCTTTGCCCTGTTTGGGATAGAATGTTCCATGGAAACGCCCTTTGTATGTCCCCTTCTTACTCTGCACTTGGGTGTGGCCTACCCAGGTGTCAGTCAACCTGCTGACAGTGGACATCATGAAGCTAGACTCAGCCCCTGAAATCTGACCCCTTGCCTCATTTGAATAGCTTCTCCTCAATAAAAGGGGTCAGCACATTCGGGTTCTCTCTCTCTCTCTCTCTCTCTCTCTCTCTCTCTCTCTGTCTCTCTCTCTCTGTCTCTCTCTCTCCCTCTCCCTCTCCCTCTCCCTCTCCCTCTCTCCCCCCTTAAGATCAGAGGAGCTGTCACAGCACCCCCAATAGAAAAAGGTATTTCTGTCTCTTGTGTGGTTATTTCACGCAGCCAAATTAGCCCAGTTCTCCTGAGTGACCCTGAGTGTTTTAGTCATGAGCAACCTGCAACTGCGAAAGGGCTTTCCAAACTGGCTGAACCATCTGAATACCGGGCAGCAATGCATGAGAATTCCAGCTGCTCTGCCCCTGGTCAGCAGGAGACATTGCCTCTATTTTTAAAACTGTTACATGTTACAGTGGAGGTGGGGTATCTGGTCCTTGTTTTCCTCATCTGTAAAATGATGAGGAAAATATAAGAATTTGAGCTTCCTAGGGTCCTGTGGAGGGATAAATGTGATACAGCAAGAGCACCTGCAGGGCTCAGTAAATGGTGGCTGTGACAGGTCCCTTTGCCATCTGACCTGGCTTTCTGAACATGCAAGCAGGATACAGCCACAGAGGAAGAGGGATTTCCACTACTAACAACTTCTTCTTAGTAGTTTCCACTCTCTTCTTTAAGTGCTCAGAGCTAACAATAATGAGTTCACATTTTACATTCTTTCTTTTTCTTCTTAAGACAGTCTCACTATTTGCCCAGGCTGGCCTCAAACTGCAGGGTTCCAGCAATCCTCCTGCCTTAGCCTCCCAAGTAGCTAGGACCACAGGTGCACACCACAAGTTCACCTGGACCAAGTGCCACACTCACCCTACAAGACAGGCACCATTATTATACCTGCTCTACAGATGAGGAAACTGAGGCTCATGGAGATCACATAATATGACACACAGCCAGGAAGAGACAGAGCAAAGTCTGGACCCAATGCAGACTCAGAGTCGGCACTATTAAACACCACCCTAATATCTTCTCATTGGAGAAGCATCCCTGATCCCGGGCTGGTCCCAGACAGACCATAACCCTCCCCCCCCCCTTTCAGGGCACCAAACCCAGGCAGTCACCACGGTCCTGGAGCAGCTGTGCCACCTGGTACTGGACCAGACCACTAAGGCCGTGATAGTGACAGAGGGAAGCCACAGCGGTGGCCACATCCTGGTTTTCTGTATACAGCGTGCCAAAGCGAAGCCCGGACATCCCGAAGTCCTGCAAGAAGAGACAGCCTAGGCTGTGGCCACCTTCCACAGAGGGAGCTGATTCCACCCACCTGTCTGCCTCCCATCTCTCTGACTCCCCGCAGCCACCCAGACACTCACCTTGCTCATGCCCCACAGTACGTGGGTCCTCTGGGGGTCAGGCAGCCTGCAGAGGGCAGAGTGTGGGAACAGAGGCAGCCAGAACCAGGGCGCCCAGGCCCATTTCCACGAACAAATGAGGAGATGGATGGACGGATCTAGTTCTGGGTCCTGGCCCTGTTTTCATCTCTCAGAACCACCAATTCCTGTGCATCCTTTAGAGCAGGGTTAGCAAACAACAGCCTGCAGGAAAATCTACCTGGTGTCTTTTTTCTTAAATAACATTTCATCAGGACAGAGCCATGCTCACTGGCTGACACAATGTGCATGACAGAGTTGAGTGAGAGGCCATGAGGCCTGTAAAGCCTTAAATTTATGTACCATCTGGCCCCTTAGAGGAGAAATTTGCCAACTTCTGATCTAGAATACAGCTCAAGTGTCACTTCCTCAAAGACCTCCTGACTCTCCTCAGCCAGTGGGGTACCCCTGCAGGTCATCCCAGAGCTCCCCAGAATTCTCCATTTAGCACTTGCCACCACCGAGGTCAAAATGACTACCTGGGTATTGTGCTGCTAGGGTTTGGGGTTTATCAAAGGTTCTACATGGGAAGGGCCAAGGTCTTGGTCATTCACTGATGTCCCCCAGCACTAGCACAGGGCCAGGCACAGAGCAGACGTCCATAGATACTGTTCCCATGTCTACCCAAGGATCATGGGCAAGTCTCTATTTTCTCTGTCTCACTCTCCTAATGCACAAAATGAATGGGAGTCACACTCCACATGCCATCGTCCTCTCAGAGCTTTTGAGAGACAAGTGACAGAAAGGCCACAGCAGGGCTGAAAAGTCAGTAGGAACATCAGGAACTGTCATCCTGCCTCGGGGTCAGATTACAGACTTCACAGATGATCTGGTCCACGTGTGTCAAAGGTATCTTGTTCATAAATTCTGTGCTCAGACTCAATCTAATGGATAAGGCCACTAATTTAAGTACCCCAAAGTGCTTATTCGCTCCATGGATGAGAGGAAGGAAGGAAGGAGGGAGGGAGGGAGGGAGGAGGGACCGCAGCTCCACTGGGCATGAAGGAACGGCCAGGCAGCCAGTTTCCCATCTTCCCTCTGGAGTCCTAGGCCCGGGGTTGGAGGTCTCAGGGTCTCCACAGAAGAGTCTCAAATCCACGGATGCAGCCCAGCCACCCACCTTCTTGGGGGCCTGAGGACCCCTTGGGTCAGCTAGGTGTTAGCAGCATTGCCCTGGCCAGGTCACACCCTGTGGGCCAGCCACAGAGAGGCCAGTGGGGCTGGCGGGTCAGCTGAGCCCAGGAGCCTCACCTTTCCAGGCTCAGGACGCTGCGGAACTCCAGAGACTCCTGGAACACTGACAGCATGTAGATTTCATCCAGGATCACCTGCAGCGAGTGCCTGCCGCCAGGAGGGGGCGGGAGAGAGCTGGGCCACAGGTTACAGCCACATGTGCTCCCAGGGAGCAGCCTGTCCCAGCCCAGAGGGACCCGCCTACCCAGGGTGTCCAGACTCCTTTTCTCCAGGAACACCCTTCTGTTGCCTATTTTCTCAACCAGGAAGCAGCACTTACAAAGCAAAGGGGAGAGGAGCTTTGAAGCCCTGTCAGGGAGAGCTTGGACCTCAGGGTCCTCCCTGGGAGGAACATTTAAGGACGAGGCTCAAGGCAGAGGACCCACATTCAAATCTGGCCCAACCCTTGATGTGTCCACTCCGAGGCTCCCAGGGCTGGGGATCATGAAGTGTCTATTTCTTTTTCTTAAATACAGTTTTACTTATACATGGACATAATATCTTCATTTTGTTTATTTATTTTTATATGGTGCTGAGGATTGAACCCAGGGTCTCCCATGTGCGAGGCAAGCGCTCTACCCCTGAGCCACAACCCCAGCCCCAAGTGTCTATTTCTTATGGGGTCGTTGTGAGGATTAAAAGAAACAGTAAGCAAAGGGCTGGGCTGTGCAGTGGGTGAAGCCATTACTATCACGTGGAAGACACGCTAGGTGCAGTGGCAACCCCTGTAATCCCAGCACCCAGGAGGCTGAGACAGGAGGAGGCAAGTTCAAGGTCCACCTGGACAACTTGGCCAGATCCTGTCTCAAAATAAAACTTTGAAAAGGGCTGGAATGAAGCTCAGTGGTGGAGCATTTGCCTAGCATGTGTAAGGCCCTGGGTCCAAACCCTAGCACCACCACAACAACAAAAAGCCTAATTTTAAAAATAAAATGGAACAGAGAGAAATGGCATCCAGCAAAGCCCTACCCTCTCACTGCTACGCTGCCAGGGAGAGGCCAAGGCAGGTAGAAGCCCGCGGTGGGGTGAGAGGGCACAGGGCCTGCAGCAGAGCCCACCTAAGAGCCTGGATGGACCCAGGAGCTACTGGGGGGGACTCACCTCTTGGCAAATCCCAGGAACTCCTGCAGCTCTTCCGGGGAGTAGATGTCCCCCAGAGGATTCTGGGGGTTGATGAGTATGAGGCCCTTGACCTTGACACCCTGAAACCATCCACAGGCAGAGACCTCAGCTCCTCTCCAAGGCCAGGCAGACCCACTAGATGGGGCTGATCCCTGGTGGCTCCCAGGGAAGTGAGTGTCCTGGGGACATGGTCAGGACCCACCACGAAGCACAGTAAGACGCAGAATGACATCTGCATCATCGGGCTGACTGTGAAAAGAAAACCAACACAGAGCACAGAGGGGAATGTGCCCACGAGCCAGGAGAGGGCCTGTGTTGCAAAACTCAAGGGCACGGGTTTCAACTTTCAACTTTCCTACAGTGAACACATGACCGCTCTAAGGACCAAGGTAAAATCACCCAAGTAGGCAGACGGTTGAAAAGTGGATTAAAAGGAGCCCCCAGAGAATGGGCCCTCTGCATTTCAATCCCCTCTAGTGAACAGGACCACCCCCTCCACCTCTCAGGAGACTCACTAACCCACAGTCCCCCTGCTCCATACTTGACCCCTAGAGCCGAGTCAGAGGCAGTGGGGAGAGGGGGGCACGTTCCATGAAGCTCCCAGGTTGATTCTCTACACAGAGGCATGAGGGTCTTGTTCCAATGGGCAGAAACTCCAGGTTCTGTGCTACCACACTACCATGTGTCCCCTTCATGGCCACCAACCCAGCTCTCAGGAGATGAGCCACGGGAAGTGGGGTCCATGCTGTGTCCAGACCCACCCACTCCCAGCCCTGGTTGGAACCATCTCCAGACCTCAGATTCAGCTCCTTGCAGGGCCGTCTCCAGCTTCTCCACCGTGAGCTGGAAGGGGCGTGTGTCCTGCCCAGTGACCTGGAAGAAGACCCACCAACGTCTCCAGCCAAATTCAGGGACTCCCCAACCCTGAGTTCTCAGGTCCCTCACCCCCATCGCCTCAGTTCAGTCCCTGGAAAACAGGTGGGGCCACTTCCTCTTCCGGTCCTCCACTCCACAAGTCACATCAGGGACACCTCTTGTGGCTCTCAGGTTTCCAGCAGAGGCCCACAGGGGTCCTCTGGTAGGATCCCAGGGCTTCCATGTTAAGGTCTCTGTCCCCTGTCCACCACCCTTATTTTGGTGGCTGATCCTTGGCTTCTATGTGGACCCAAGGAATCTTAGAGCCTAGAGCAGGGGACCCTCCAGGACCCAGGCACAGGCAGCCATGTGGCAATGGAGGGCTCCAAGCCCTTTTCACAGCAGCTCCAGAGCCCTCGGCATGGACTTCCTCCCGTGCCCACCCACAATTCAGACCCAGGAAACCCCTGGCCAGGGGAAGGCCCAGGCCCACCTGGGACGCAGGAACTCTCACCTCACTGTCCAGATAGACATAGGCCAGTCGGACGTTGCCATAGAGATACACATGCCTCGTGATGCCTTCATAGTAAGGGGTGGGGATCAGGAAAGCCTCTGGAGACAGGAACAGGATGGACATGTCATCCTCTGGCTGGAACATTCCCGACCCCTTGGGCATCCTGGAGGATCATCTGGAGCATGCTCCAGCTCAATTCCCAAAACTCTAAAGCTCAGGACACTGACATTGGTCCGCTTTCTAATACAGATGGGGTCTCTTCAGATAAGTCCACATAAGTCCAAAATTGTCATTAAGTCAAAAGTACATTTAATCCACCTGACCTGCCAAACCTCCCAACTTAGCCACATGGCTGGCTGTGGGGGGTCCATGATCTCGTGTCTGCCTGGGAGCTGGGCTCAACCCACTGCCCAGCGTAGCAGAAAATGCAGTAGCACATACCACCAGCAAGGACAAGGACCACAGTTCAAAATCTGAAGTACAGTTCCCACTGACGTACACGCCTTCACACCATGGTCAAGGTGAAAACCCGTAAGTCAAGATCTTTTGCAATTAATGACTAACATTGCTGAGCACTTAGTGTGCTGGGGACTCTGCTGAACTTTTGTTGGGAAGGTCCCTTTCTTTGATTATTCTAGAAAGGGTTGGCAATTGCCTATTATATTCAGACCAGGGATCTTCCTGGTGACTACCTCTTTCTCTATGACAGTTCCTTAACCTCTGGGCCTCAGGCTCCTCACCTATAGGATGGGTTTGCCATAGAACCAACCTCCCTGGAACACTGTGAGGTTAAATGAGATATTATGGATGTGTGGAGCCTTATGCCAAGGCCTGGAATGTAGTACGTGGCCAATAGACCCACGGCCATTACCAGTATTGGTTAAGCCATGGTGAACAGGCCTCTGTCCCTGGCAACAGAAACCCCTATCCAAGGCCAGGTCTTAAGACCACGGCTTGTGCAGCAGTTCTGGCTGGCTGCCTACTCAATGGTCATCCCAGTGTCCCTCCTTGCTAAGACATGAGGGGATGGCAGGCCTTCCCCAGCCGTCGGGGACAAACTAAGTTTAGTGTAAGCCAACCCTGGCTCTCTCCTCCCCTTTGCCCAAGGACTGCTCTGGGAATGGGTTTCAGTCATTGTAGGTCAGTTCAAAGGGGCTCTGTGGAGACCCTTCTGGGAAGTGCTCCCTCCCACTCCCCTCCCCCGATGTGAAAGAGATGGCACCACGTAACCTCCTCCTGTTCCTCCTGCTCTGGGCCATGGTGTCACAGGAGGATGCAGAAAGCCCAGAGCCAGCTCCCTCTACCCTCCCCTGGTAAGGCCACGCCCTGGGAGTCTCCTCAAGCCATTGATGTAAGACCTCTGTGGCCTCCCGTATTCTATTCTAAGCACATTAGGGCAGCCCGTGAGGTCAGACAACTGGGGGTCCTGCCGTGTAGACCCCAGTTCAGAGCAGACCTTGAGTTCACTTACCCCCCACCTCGCACAGCACCGTGGCCAGAGCAGAGAAGACAGAGGCACAGCCATTCAGAACAACCACCTAGGGGTGACATAAAGGGACAGGATGATGGAGTTCCAAGAGGGAGTGAAAACCCATAACCTCTGTCCCAGTTCAGCACAGAAGAGAGTCAGGTTCCCCCTCAGCATCCTGGGGCTCTGTCTAGACAAACACCCTCCTCCCCTATAGCCAAAGTCATTTGAGGGGACCCTGCTCTGTATCACCTGAGGAAGAACCCAGGAGCTGGTCACTCAGAGGATCTTGCCTGAAGGTGAGGAGGCCAAGAGGGCTCACAGCACAATGTGGGGCAGAGATTCTACCCCAACTCTAAATATCTAGGGCCAGCTGAGTGCAATGGTGCACGTCTGCAATCCCAGCAACATGGGGGGCTGAGGCAGGAAGATCATAAGTTGAGTCCAGCCTCAGCAATTCAGTGAGACCCTAAGCAACTTTGCAAGACCCTGTCTCGAAATAAAAATAATAAATAAAAAAGGGTAGGGATGTAGCTCCTTGATAAAGCACCCCTGGGATCAATCCCCAATACCAAAACATAAAAATTTTAAAAATGCATCTAGGGTCAGGGGTCAAGAAGGGAGCAGGCATTGCTTATTCTATTTTGAACCAAATCAAGATTGACGGCTGGGCTGGGGCTGGGGCTGAATGGTAGAGCACTTGCCTAGCATGCATAAGGCACTGGGTTCTATCCCCAGTGCCACCTAAAAATAAATAAATTTTTAAAAAAAGGTATTGTGTCCATCTACTACTAAAAAACATTTTTAAAAAATAGGCTGATTCCCAACCCACCTCGCTGTTGGCCAGCCAAAAGTGGGAGCAGAGCAAAAGGGCAGGAAAGAGCAGAGGAGGGGGATACTCACATTCTCTGCTTTGAGGGGTGCTGGGCTCTTGCAGTAGTAAGACAGGAACTTAGCCACTTCCTCCCGGAGGCTAGAAATCAGACACACAGATAGGCCCTGCTTACCAGAAGGTCCTCAAACCACTGGACACCCAAAAGCTCCTCTGGGAAATTCTCAGCCCCTGACATTACTCTCCCCTCATTTCCCATATGGGCATTATGCTCAGCACGTGTCTCCACTCCCAGGCCCCTCCAACTCCTCCCACATGCACTGAGTCTTCTTTCCCTGTAGTTCTATATTTATCCTACACAGATGTTATTTTGAGAATGCTACACTGTGATTACTATTGCTATTAATATCTCTATATTACAGATAAAGAAACTGGTTTAGCCACTGTAATCCCAGGAACTCAGGAGGCTGAGGCAGGAGGATCTCAAATTCAAGGCCAGCTTCAGCAATTTAGTGAGATCCTCAGCAATTCGGTGAGACCCTGTCTAAAATAAAACATAACAAGGACTGGGGATGTAGCTTAATGGTAAAGTTTCCCTGGGTTCAATTCCCAGCACCACAAAAAAAAAAAAAAACAGGTCTGAAGGAATCAAGGCATTTGCTAGAGCCTGTCTCCAGGGCTCACCATCCTAACCACCGTGTTTAAGAACATGTGCTTTGGAATCAGTCTTGGGATCAAGTCCTCAGCCACTGAACCCCTTTCCTCTGGTCCCTGGTGTCTGCTCAGGCACTAGGGCCAAGCATCAGTGTTGCCCAGCCAGCTCCCCGACATGGGATCTGGCTTCTATCAACTACTGAGAAGAAGAACAGACTCCTCACCCAAAGGCCCTGCCTGTACGTCAGACCCAGGTTCATGGAAACCAAACTGGGAGCTCCTGAGCCGGGCGGGGACAGGCAGGGAACCCCAGGATCAAGGCCTCCAGGACTCGGCCCTTGGCCTTCAGCAGGCTCTCTCCACCTGCCACGCCTGATATTTGGAGCTGGACAATTCTTTGTTGGGGAAGCTGTCCTGTGCAGACAGCATCTCTGGCCTCTACCCACTGAAGGCCAGGAACATCTCCAACTCCAAGTTAGGACCCTCCAACCTGTGTCCAGGCCTTGCCCAACGTCCCTGGGGGAGCAAAACCGCCCATGTTGAGATCCACTGTCCCACAGCAGTACTTACAACAGGTGCCCCCTCCAGTCAGGGTACTGCAGCAGGGGCGGCTCCACCCGCAGCATGTCACTCTGAGTCAGCTGGGGACAAAGAGGAGAGGGACGGGCTGAGGGATCCACTGCCTCCTGCTTCCACACGGCAGCAGGTCCCAGAGAAACCCCAGAGCAGCAGCATGTCCCATGCCCATTTTGCAGATGAGGAGATTGAGGATCAAAAAAGTGAGGTGACTCTGCCAAGGTCCCACAGCCATTCAGTGACACAGCTGAGACCCAAACCCAGAAATTTGGACTCTGGTCGAGTGCTCTTCATGCAACATTGCCACCAAAAAAAAAAAAAGGTGTGGCTTGCACAGACAGTGCCAGGAGAGGGAGCAGGGTGCTGTCACCTCGGTCTTGGCTCCAACTTCTAGAAGGACTCAAGACCACTTGTTCTCTGGCAGGTTTGGCTTAGTATCACGCTGTGGAAAAGGTGGCAATTTCTGGACCATCACCTCCGTGACCAGGTGCTGGGTTAGACCTCTAGGGCATCACAGGCCAAATGTCAAAGAAAGGACTAATAACGCAGGGTCCTTGGGTGGTGGGACCAGAGGAATGGGAATCAGCCACGTGTCCAGCCATTTCCCTCCTCCTTCATCCCTCAGAGCTGGTCCAACATGTCCCCATGGCCCACTGTGGCTTCTGAACTCTTGATACGTGGTGAGTCTAAATGGAGACACTGGATTTTGAAAACTTACTATGAGGAAGTATGTAAACTGTATTGACAGCTGTTATATTGATTACATGGTGAAATTTTACCAAGCTTTCTTTTAACTTTCTAATAGAAAATTTCAAATTACATATGTGACTCTCTTTTTCAGTGCTGAACTGTCTCAGGAAGAGCTGGCTTTAGGGAAAACCGGCTTTGAAGACCCTCCCTACAACCCAGCCCCTGGGGCTTGGATTTTTCTCCTTTGGAAAGCTGTCCTCTGGGGGAAGCATTGCTGCCTCTACAAACCCAAGCTCCAACTGGAGACCCCCTGCTCAAGGAACTGGATTATGACATCCAGGAACTTTCCAGATTTCCAGGAATCTGAAAGCTATGTTGGAATCAGTCATTTTTTAAAATTAATTTAATATAAACTTAAAACCTAGTCAAGTAATCTATAAGTAAGGCATTGAGCATGTGAACATTGTCACTTCCTGCTTTCCTGCATTGTGCCGCCACCCCACTTTCAAAGTGACTTCTACGGTCCATACGGTGGGAACAGGTATGAGCTTGGGCCACCAGGTCTCTCTTCCAACCCTGCTGTGCTGGGATGGCACACAGGAGCTTGAAATTGATCATGGAAATTGGCAAAGTCACAAATTAGGGCTTTGGTTTCCCCGAAAGGCATGGTGGCACATGCTTGTAATTGGGAGACTGAGGCTCGAGAGTTCAAGGCCAGCCTCAGCAACTCATCAAGGCCCTAAGCAACTCAGCGAGACCTTGTCTCTAAATAAAATATAAAAAGGGCTGGGGATGTGGCTCAGTGGTGAAGCACCCCTGGGTTCAATCCCTGGTACAAAAAAAAAAAAAAAGGATGGCACTGAGTCCCCTGGAGTGAGGGACCCAACACAGCAGGAGGGACCAAAGGGGCAGAGCCTGAACTGATGAAGGATCAGGATCACAGGGAAGTGATGGGCCTAGATCACCCAGAAAGTGGTTCCCAAGGCAACTGGGGTCCCCTGACTCCCTGGCCAGGCCAAGAGCCCACAGCAGGTCCTTTAGGGACAAGTGTTCCAAAGAAGGGATCCCCTGGACTCACCCGCCTGGACAGCAGGTCAAAGCAGAGTTTGTTCTCACTGGTGCCCAAGTTAATGACGCCCTGGAGACGAGAGGAACGGGGCCACGTGAGCATGGCAGAGGAGTGCCCGTGAAAGGAGCCCACAGGGTCAGCAAATGGGGAGCTCTGCCACCCTGCCCTCCCGCCACCCCTCCTGGTCTCACTCCAGCCCTGCCCCCCTTGGCCTCAGGCTCTCTCTTCCCATTTCTAAAGTTCTGCTCAAATGCCATCTCCTCCAGGAAGCCTGCCCCCCAATCCCACCTAGAAGGGCTTTTTCTTCTCTGGGGTTCCATGGCTCTTAATCTGTCACCCCTCTAGAGCACTGCTGACTTTTTGCTCCAGGCCATGGGGACAGAAGTCCATGCTCTACTCCCCTGCTGCAGGAGAACTCCCCAAAGGCAGATGCACACCCAGGACCTTACAGTATCTCTCAGGAGCTTAGCAGGAATCCATACATGTTTACAGGATGAAAGAATGTACACAAAGAACTATGTTCTCCAGGAACAGAAACCAGGTGAAGGTCAATAAGAATGAGCCCTCGGCCACATGCAGTGGCACACCCCTGTAATCCCAGCACCTCGGGAATCGGAGGCAGGTGGATCGTATGTTCATAACCAGCCTCAGCAACTTAGAGAGGCCCTAAGCAACTCAGTGAGACCCTGTCTCTGAATAAAATACCAAAAGGGGCCAGGGATGTGGCTCAGTGGTTAAGCACCTCTCAGCTCAATGCCCAGTAATTCCCCACTGAGCTATTTTATGCAGATGCACCACCTGGTTTACACAGTGACAGCCTTTGAGGAGAGAGGCTCTGTGTCCGCATTAGCCTGGACCTTATCTCAGCACTTGGGATTAAAAGGAACACTGGCTAAGGTGTAGTCTTTGGTGGTGGGTAATATGTAACTTTTGGGGTAATTAAAGATGACAGCAGAGAGGGGAAGGCACCCCTTTGTCTGCCACGCTTCTGTCTGCACCTTCCCTGTGTGTCTGTGTCTGTCCTTGGTGGGCCTCCCCCACAGGTGTTCCCCACAGGTGTTCCTTTACACCACACCTGATCCCCACCCCAGAAGGCCTTTATTCTCATAGGAGAGAAATGATGGGAGGCCTAGTCCAAGCTCTCCCTCAGAGTCCCCAGAGACACAAGGCCGCCCTCTGCCCTGCCCCGCACCTCCCCCCACCCAGCTGACTACTGACCTCTGCATTAAGGGAAGCAAAAGGGAGTAAAGGAAGAAGGAAAGATGAAAAATAGACCTGGAATGAGCAGAGATGAAGACACCTAAAAGGCTGTGATCTCCCCCTGGGGGACAAACAGCCAGTGCACCTGCAAACCCTGACAGCTCTGCCTTCCAAATACCCACAGTCCACCCGCTGCCAAGCTCCACTGCAGAGATCCTGGCCCAACCCCATCACCACGCCAGCTTCTCCACTTCCTGTCCTCCCCACTCCCTCACCTGTCATCCAGGCTCATGCACAGTCCAAGGCATCTCTTAAAAACAGAAATCAGGCCATATCGCATCTCCCTGCAACACCTCCTCGCCCACTTGATCCAAAATGAGAAGGCTCGCAGTGGCCCGTGACACCCATGGGACCTATTACCACACCACCTCATGACCTTCAAACCTCACAGTCCACCAGTCTGGATTCTTAGTAGACCAAGGGTTCCTTTTCTGTCCCTTGGTTCATCCAGCATGGTTCCACCCTGGGCTCTTCCCCAGGTACAACATGGCTCACTCCTGTTTGGTGGCTCCCAGGGATCCCCACCCCCTCTAATCACACCCTCGAATGTGGGCTGGACCTAGCGACTCATTTCTGATGACCAAAATAAAACATGCAGACGTGATGGGATGCCACTTCTGAGACTGGGTACTACAGAGTCTGTGGCTTCATCTTGGGAACACCTGGCCTCATTCTCCTGGTCATTTGCCCTGGAAAAACAGCTGCCAGGTAGGAAGTGGGCTGGTGGGAAAGCCCCTGTGGAGGGAAATGAGGCCCTCCAGTCACCAGGTGAGTTAGCTTGGAAATGGCGCCTCCCCACCCTCTCCCTCTCCCTCCCCCGGGAGATGTCCCCAGCTTCATGGCAACTCCACAGAAGATCCTGACTGTGAGGCACCCACCAGGATTCCAGAAACTGAGACTCTTCCCACCTGAATTTCTGAGATTTGAAGGAATTTGTTACAGCAATTGATGGCTAACACCACCTCTCACCCTTTTTTTTTTTTTTCGGGTTTCTGTCCAAATGTCACCTCATTAAAGTAGCTTTCTGTGACCATTTTATTGAATAGCAACATTACCACCATTCTCTATCCACTTCACCTGCCTTATTTTTCTCTACAGCTATTATAACCTTATATTATATAGACATGCTTTTGTCTGTTCGCTGTCTCCCACCCAGATCATGAATGCATACTGTTAAAATGTTAAAATGCCAGCACCTACAAGAGCGGCTGGTACCTGGGTGCTGCTGAAGAAATAAAGATTATTAAAGGGTAATTTGTGCAGCTCTCTGATCTGTGAAGGTATTACTAACAGTAGTTAGTAATACCTCATAATAATTGGGCAGATAATATCAATATAATAGCAGCAACATTTATTCCCTGTACCCCAGAGCAAGCCCTGAGCTAATCCCATCATAAATCCCATCTAATCTCCACTCTTCTGCAGCAGGTATAATTACCCCATTTTGGAGATGAGCAGAGATTGAAAGAAACGGAACCATCATGCACTGAACCCAGCTCTGTCCTAGCTCCAGAGTTGAAGGGTTGGGGGTGGGGACAGCTTGGGGGTAGAACACTTGCCTGGCAGCAGGGAGAGCTTGATCCTAACCCCAGCCCCACAAAAAGAAAACAAAATCAAGGTGAATAGTTGTCAGGCTATCCACGCAGAAACACTCTACAGCTCTTGAACTCTTCCTTCACAAGCCCGTGTCCACTTAATTATAAATGGGGGGTCACTATAAAAGGCCCCTGCTTGTGGGCCTCTAGGACCTCCATCAGAAGACCTCCTGGAGGCAGAGGACCGTGATTTTACCCTACAGGTGCCAGCTGGGTCCTGTCCTACAGGTCAAGGAAGGTACCCGCCCCACAGTTCCCCTTGGGCCCGGGAAGGGCTTTGCTCACATTGGGGTTCTTGTCCTCGTCATACTCATCCCTGTGGTAGGTCCTGTAGCCCTCCTCAGCCGAGTCCCAGAACCATTTGATGTCTCTGCCTCTGGAGGACAGGCAGGAGCTGGCAGAGGAGAACATGGCGATGGGATCACCAACTCCACAGAGCTCTGGCCGCGTCAGCTCTGCTCTTCTGGAGCATTCTCCTTCCACGTCACCCGGACAGTATCGGCCCATGTCCTGTGGGGAGGCCGAGCCCAGACAGGTGGCAGGCTCCCTGCATTCCTTCTGAGGAAGGGGGAACATCTGCAAAAGACAGAAGCGCTCAGTGCCCAGGGCTGCTCAAGGCCCTGGGGAGCACCACCCAGAAAAGCAGTCAGGCACCATCCCTGCTCATCCCAGCCCCACCTCACTTTATTTTGCAACAGGGTTTCCCTGTGTTGCTCAGGCTGGCCTCAATGATCCTCCTGCCTCCACCCACTGGCCATCTGCCCCTTCCTTTAAGTTCATGCACTCACCACTTCCTGTGTCCCTAACTAGCTGCAACCATAGGTGCCACCACTTCAAGGAGCAAAATTGTTAAGGACATGTAGTGAGCCAGGGCCTGTGCTGGCTACATCTGAGTCATTTCAATAGATTGCCGCTTTGGCTCATTTCATTTCTGCATATGTTTTTCCTTGACCAGCCTAAGGGGTCACCAGTGATCTTTTCCCATCCTTGCTTATCTCAATTTCAAAACTGTAGGTTAAGCTGGGTGCAGTGGCACAGTCCTGTCATCCCAGTGGCCCAGGAAGCTGAGGCAGGAGGATCACAGGTTCAAAATCAGCCTCAGCATCTTAGTGAGGCCCTCAGAACTTAATGAGACCCTGTTCCAAAGTAAAAAATGAAAAGAGCTGGGGATGTGATTCAGCGGTGAAGAGCCCCTGAGTTCAATCCCTCCTCACAAAATCATCATCATCATCCTGGTTAAAATTCTCCACACACATCACTGCCAGGGAGTCCTAGATGTCCTGTGGTGGAAAGGGTAGGATGGGATTACTCGGTGTCTGGAGCAGATGGTGATGGGAACTGAGGGGAAGGAGGGGTAGGAGTCTCCAACAAGTGCAGAGAGCCCAGGTCCAGGTCTTCATGCTGGAAGCAGGAAGGGGCACCAGGAAAGGGTCCTCCTGCCAGCAGAGGTGAGCGCCTCCACTTCTCTGAGCCAGTTTCATCTGCACAGTGGGTGTACCAGCAGCCACCTCACTGGACACCAGTGAGGATGTCAGGTGATCAAGATCTTAGACCAAATCCTGGCTCAA